CATCCTCAGAGTCATGCAGAGTAGTCAACTTTTTGAAGGCCATAGATAGGCCTAAATAAAATGTTTTAAATTGTGTAACAGTTTCACGTTGAATATTATTTATGATTTTAACTTTATACACAAGTGCCAAAATACTATAATTACATATCAAGTTATGAGTTTTCCAGATTACCTCGAAGATTGTCTAACGTTTTAAAACCACTCCGGTAATTTTGAAAAGCTTTAATAACAAATACATTAAATATGTTTCTTTATGAATATAATCACATATCTATATTTAATTAAAAAAATTAATACTGTTGTTTTTAATAGCAGGTAGTGTGTTTACAGCGTGTATTTATTTCTAATAAGAAGCTTTGTTTTTTAAAGTAATGTGTTGTCAGTAAAGTTTTATTCTTCTTCCAGATCACAAATATTCACATTTCAGGCTGTATTTAAAACACACGATACCGTTATTTGAAGAATGTTTAATGATCACACTGTCCACGTTTTTTCACCATAAATATTTCATATTACGTATAGGAAACTTACTTATGTCATCACAAACTCCTTGGCACTATTGGCCCCCAGTGGCACAGCGGCATGTCTGCGGACTTACAACGCTAGAATCCGGGTTTCGATACCCGTGGTGGGCAGATCACAGATAGCCCCTTGTGTAGCTTTGTGTTAATTACAAACAACAAATTGTCACTATTGTATCGCATGGAACATCTTTCTGATAAAATAATATGATTATTAATTATCCCATAAATTTCTTAAACTCAGAAAGTAATAACTGTTAAATGTCCAGGTAATATGCTAACATACTCATATCTTCACAAAGTCTTTGTCACTGTGATATTACATGCAACATCTTTCTGGTAAAATAACATGACTATTTAATTATTCCATGAACAGATCTGAGGCCAGCCTTTTTCAGGTGGGGGTGACTGAGGTGGGCTAGAGAGAATACTGGGGAGGGGGGGTGTCATCAAAATGTGTAAATTATCAGCGTGTTGGACATGTTGGTTGTGGTGGCTAAGGCAAATTCTGAAGTGGCTATACTCCCCAAGCCCCTCCCCCCCTTTAGCGCTGCCTTTGTCCATGAGATTTCTTAAACATAGAACGTTTTAATTGTTAAGTCTTCAGGTAATATCTTAACACTTACAGATGTGTAATGCTTATTTTGTTAAATGCTATTTGCCAACGAATATAATATAAACACGATCAATAAAGGAAGAACAGGATTTCTGGAACACCGAGTATTTGATAATTCCTAAGCTATTAGCCCTAAAGTTGTAAGCCTGAAAGATCAAGCCAAACCTGCTTTTTGCTTGCCGAGTGTTTTTGTTTTTTTCATATGAATAGCAAATTTGTACTCTGGTGTCTATGGTAACTGAAAGGATTACACGAGTTCTGTAGTCTCTATGAACTAGAGGTGGCTGTCGTCTGCTAGCTTGCAACAACTTAGTTCAACTGAACAATGCGTATACTGTTTATTGAATAATCCGAATTGTCCTAAGGGTTTTATTTTGTTTTACATTTTTCTAAGTTGACGTACAACAACAATTTGAATAAAGCCACAGTTCTTGCATTCTTTTTCTAGTAAGCTTCAGTTTACAATACCAATTGTAATTAGTGTTAACATAATTTTGGACTCGAGTCTTGCCTATACACAATGTTCTCAGATACATTTGAACAGTAAAATAATTGTTTATAAAGCTTAATATTAATAGGAAATTTCGTATCTTCGTATAACAACAGACATTATTTTCTCCATCATTCTCTGCTCATTTGTTTTTTAAATAAATAAGGTACTGTGTAATATCATTCACACATCTAAATACATTTGTATTTATCTGAAATAAGGTACTGTGTAATATCATTCACACATCTAAATACATTTGTATTTATCTGAAATAAGGTACTGTGTAATATCATTCACACATCTAAATACATTTGTATTTATCTGTGTTTTATTTGTAATTAAGTTTCTTCCGAAAAAGAAATGTCCATCTTTCTAAATCGCTCGAGTTATAGGATTTCGTATCTTTGTGTTATAATGGCTTATTCAGCCCCTAATTATTAATAAATATACAAATAAAAATATATAATTTTACAAAGTTATTAATTAAATATTATAAATTTACATTGTTGAACACGTTTTTACTACACATCTACACAACAACTGATATGTGCTCTGTCAATTGTGGGTTTCGAACCCCGGATATTAGTGTTATATGTTCGCGAACGTACTGTTGACCCAGCGAGAGAGACGTAGTTTAATCGACACTTTAATTTCATCATCCAAACAGAGTGCAATATAACAGCATTTCCATAACTTTGGTGACACGTTAATTTAAATTACATAAACAAGTGAAAATAGGAGGGCATCGCATACGTGGTCCTCACAAATAAAAGAGGGGAACAATTAATAAACTTTGGAAAACAAAGAATGTCTTTTGTGGTAGATGTACCAAATATCGATGAATATTTGTAGATTTAACAAGGAATGACATTTCATTTTATTGTTTTTAATTAGAATTCCCCTCTCGTTGTCTAAAATTGATTAAAAGAACTGTTTCTTTCAACAAGTATCTTAGGGTATAACATTTAACGCGTATGTGACCCATTAACTTTAGCTATTTGTAGAACTTTTGCCGTTTCAACCAAAGCGCGTGTCATACTGTAATCACAGTATCAATTTATATGGTAATTAATGCATCACTCCTACAACAATAAAAGTTTCATATTCATTGTATCCAGGTTTCATCAAATTAATATGATCAGCATAACTCGGAAACATACTTATCTTCATTTACATTCTGTTAGGTCGTCAAGAAATTAATGTCGCTTTTTTTAGATAAAAAAACCAGAACAACTTATATATCAAAACAAAACATTTATTAAATGTAATAGTCTCCATTCTTATT